ACAATGTATAATAGAGGGATGCGAAAAAATCAACAAATTTGACTGATGTTAATGAAGCACTAATGTGGAATGCGTGCAATGATGATATTTGAGCAAAAAACAGCCGTGCCATCATAAGTTTTAGAATAATTTATGTACACATAGGTCTAGCGGCTATCTCTATGAAAATCAAATCAACCAGGAAAGAAGATCCCTAAACCTTGTAACATATCATTGTCACACTTATTTGCTACAACAGTAAGTTAACACTGACCTCAATTTTCACAGGTAAATTCATCACCTATAACGGGGCCTTCAGATAAAATAAATCAGTGTACAATTCTTGGGCCAGACCAATTCTTAAATTTGAAGAAGTGTCGGCATATCCAATTTTTACAACATTTTGCTTCCATCTGTATAAAGAATGATGTAAATCGAAATTTTCACAACATCCTGAACAACCCCAAGTAACTGAATGAACACACAGCTCCTAACTGGAATTTAAATGTCCTTTAAGGTGCCTCAGGTAGGCATCAACCAGTTAATTATACTCATAGTTGTCAAATCGGGGCACAAATCGTGTATCAATTTTTTATTTTTCTAAATCGTGTATCATATCGTTAGTGTTGTGTATCGTAAGATACTTTAACACATTTAAAAATAGGTAGAAAAATAAATATTTATACAAAACAATAACTTGTGAAAATAAAACACTAACAATGTATAATTCTTTAAATTGCAAAAGCATAGGTATTTATCAAAAAATATAAATAAATAAATTGCAAAAGCAAGCAAAAGCAAAGCTCCTTAAATTAATTACATGCTATCAATACATATTGTCTTCACAAGGCAGATATCAATAACGCAAAATACTTAATACCATACAATAAATATGTTAAAAGGGTTGAGAAATAAAATAAAAAGTATCATTCTCATCTAAAAAATACTTATTTTTAATAAGTTCATAAAAAAAAATTGACAATATTATTTACATAAAATACTTTGAATTTTTTTCAAAATTTCTAAAGAAATTTAAGTATTTATGTAACATGCGTATCATATATCGCATTATATATTGTATATGTATTTTAAGATATATTTAATTTAAGATGCGTATTAATTATAGTATTGTTTACCTCCGAAAAGTATCGAATCGTAAGATACTGACAACACTTATAGCCAGAGACTCGAAACAGGCAGCCTACTTTCTAACAGGAGTGAACATGAAACAAACATCAACTATATATCATCTACGACCACCTCTACCTGGACAAGCACTCAACATCCATCAGCATTGTGGTCATATGGCACTCATTTCATTAGGCTAAGTTGTCGATTCCTTTTCCACATGGCTCTTCCAGCCGTCAAGGTAGTGAAACTTTTCAACTATGCCTAAAAGCTCTTTTGGCTGCATTCTGCACCCCACGCTTGAAATGATTTCTCAAAAAACAAGGATCCACATCAGCAATCACAAAGTGATCATAGAACTTTTTCTAGAACTTACATTACCAAGCACTTTGGTTATCATCATGTTGGTTCTACCCAAATTGTCTGCTCCACGTTGTTCAGCTTAGTATTCCAAGCTAAATACTAATCGGCACACAATTGTAGCCAGGAACCATATTATCCCTCTTTAATTTTATTTTATTTTTTTCCCTACTAGAAAACATGCATTCAATGCAGAAGAATAACCCTATGCAAAATTACTTTGCAACTACAGCAATTAAACTAAGACAAAAGTAGGCCTACTATAGCTCCTATAATTGGAATCTGCAAGAACACTTTTCAAACAGAAAAGAAAAAGGGAGAATTGAAAATATCAAAGACCAAGAAGCCATTCTTTCTAGTGTGGTTACTTACTGCTTAGCACCTAGCACATGTCCTTGACACTTCGACAACTCCACGTGTCCTCTACAGTTGACACAAAATCACATGGTCCACCACGTGTCAGCCACAACAGGGCATGTGAACGGATATCCTGAACAATTCTGCTTCGGTGCTTATACAGCTGAGCAACTCATGAGGCAAAGGACCAACAGCACTTGGTGCGCACTTTGGTCTCATTAGCCTCAAGAGAAACATAATGAGGCACTTTGTTAATCATCCCATAGGACACAAGATCAAACTAATACATGGGGTCTCTTGTCTTAGGCTGAAGCAAGGCTTAGGACTCTTGGTTAAAAGACAACCTTGCTATGGATTGGTGGGTAGAGAGGCAAAGGCTGACTATGGCACTTCACCCCACATGGATTCAGTTGCCTTAGGCCAATTCATAGAGAGAGAAGAGATTTCTCTATACTTTTTTGGATCTCCTAGAACCTTCTACAAACTTGGATCCTTGGCCTCTGAGGGTTTCCTTAAAAATTAAGCACATGGAGCCTCTAATTGTTCATAAAATTATGAACTACTAATTATTGCCACTAAACACACAACTGTTCGACGCTCCACTGTCACTCTATCTCATTGGACTGTTTCCTCTCCAAAACTCTTGTGTCTCCAACGTATTTTGCCACTGGCCCATTAAACCACTTTTACTCACCCACACCTACAAGCATAGGCAACGTTTAGCCAATGATTAGCTACTAAGTCATTGCAACATATTCATCATTTTTGGCTTTAAAAATATATGAAACTTACATGAATTAATATAATTCGTCTCTGAATAAATTGATATTTTGGCTTGAATCTCTATAAATTGGAAACTAATGTATAAATGTACATTACATGTAACATCAAAAGTGCTATTTCCTTCTACATTTTCCCGTTAGTTTTGTGATTCTAGGTTGTAGTTTGTTTTTCTCCCTATGAGTTCAACCCCCCAAAATAATAATAGTAATTTAAAAAAATGAAATAACATTATTGTTCACATTTCTTACATTCTTTCAAAGCAATAGAACTCTGTGTGGAATTTTACAATCACTGTTAATTTTACAATTCATCTTCCAACACTCTGATTAATACTTCTGTCATTCAGCTTTGAGTTCCATTCTTTACCATTCGTTCATTGTCCTGCTTAATATTTGACTTTCAATTAACTCATCCTAACACTTTCTAACCTGTGCTTGGAAACAAAGAACTCCACTCGACTTGAAACTCCGCATCCATTGACTCAATAACTCAAACTCTATTTATAATATAAATATATATATATATATATATAGACTCAACAAAATCTAAGGCAACTGTTAGAATTTACCTTCACCTACACCACTACCACCTCACCTACTACCACTACCACCTCACCTACTCCACTAAACCTAACCCACTACACCACTACCACCTCCACTTCACCTACACCACTACCACATCCACTTCACCTACTACACCTATATCTCCTATATAAGGAGCCTCTCACATTTGTACTAAAAATATCAAACAATAACATCAATCAATAAATACATAAATTCTTACTGCAACTTTTTGATAAAAGGTCATACCCAGGCTCTTGTTTATAGCAGTGTCTGGGAGAGGTAGTAAGGCACCCTCATCCCCTTCCTTTTTTGTGGAAATAATGATTCACGCGACTCAAACACTCGCCATAGCGCTGGAGTTGGATAGCACTTGTCAGTAAGCCAAGTCATGACATCTATAAAAGAAACATATTAAAATCTACGGCCATTAGGCAACTTATTAGGGGAAGGAGTGCACATTGCTGAACAAGCTCATTCAAGTGTGTTGAAATCTTAGATAACTTTATGTTGATACCTTTCTTTCTTTCTTTTTTTTTTTTTGGGATCATCAACAAAAAGAAATTTCATTTGTTTTGTTGGGTCATAATGCAAGACACTCTGGTTGCGCATTTATGGGTAGTTTAACTAGTTTGTTATTAATTGCACCACCTGTTTTTTTTCCCAAAGACCCCAGTAATTTCAATTACTTTAAAGGATGATTGCAACAAAACAGTCAGATGGTTACCCAAGTTTTCTTCAATACAAAAACAAGTAATCCACTAATGGTCTAATATCTATACAATCTAATCGGGGGGAAAAGAAAGGGAGGGAACCACTTATCTCACTTTCCACTCTATCTCTTTCAATTTTTCAGAACAATCTAGTCAAAATAACGACTTCCTACTGTGGGTTTTCAGACCAATGGTACCAACTAAGAAGCACGAACACTTCTAAGGTGTCGTGTCCATGCCACACAGCAACACTTATTGAATACATACTCAAATATGTCCTATACTATTTCCAAAAATATTTTAGATACTGACCCCTTTTACCAGCTTCGAACCTGGCGTGAAGCAAATGCTATTCATTCCAGCATTGTTGTGTGGTTTGCTTATTTGAGTCACAAGAATCAACCTCTCTATAGAAAATGGGGTAAGGTTGCCTACCTACTACTTTTTCCATACCCTACTGTAAAAGGGAACCTTGTGCACTGGTACAACTGTTTTGTTTCATACCATCGTGGTTCAAACTACACCACCAAACATAGTGCACACACTTTGAAAGGCATGGGATTTTTAAAGAATATGTATGATTATAGTTTTTGTCATAAATTCAAATGTGGAAGTAATCCGAGCCTTTAACAATACCTTTTCCATCCAAGGATATTGAGTCTGACAAAGGAGAATGATATCTATCCTTGCTGTCTAGCTATGACCAAGAAGCCTTTTTGACACTGGAACATTTTTTATGACTTTTTCCAGCACACAGCAATGAACTTATGAGGAAGCTGCCAAACTAAAACTTCCCCCATGAAATAATAGTAAACAAAATAAAAGCAGAAGCAACTCGGAAAAAAAAAAGAACGATGAATCTTTGGGAGCCTTCCTTTCTTCATTGCATTTCATTCTAGTTCACAGTCTTCCCCGTCATTTTAAGGTTAGTGTTTCCCTTGATTTGGAACTGCTCTCACAGCCCTCAATGAAACAGACTCTCAGTCCTGTGCCCTTTCACGAAACATAACTAACTAGTGAGATCCCATGCAAATGAAGTGTAGCCCTAATCTAGAACCAAGCTAAACAAAATGATATTTAGCAATAACCCAAAATATGAGTAATAGAGTTGACAAGCAAATGAATAAAAGTATATGCCTCTTTTATATGTCTCCAACCAACCAAGTATAACAAGGATTGTTCATGACTACACCATGCAGATTTTGTAAAGAACAGAGGTGCTGCCAATGGAAAAAACTCCACCTTTCTTTCCTAAGCTTAATCCAACTTGCACAAATAAATATACAGTCAGATAAAACAATTTATTCAGCACCTGTATCCTCAACAGATTTCTTATATTCAGGCTTTAGCTCATAAGTTCCTTGGTTTGTACCCCTTTTATTGTAGACACACAGCTCATTCAGAATCTCCTTCAAAAATTGCTGCAGAAAAAGAGAAAAGACCAAAAAAATTCCAGACAAGTTAAAACCCATCTGGGAGATTTTATAACATATGTGACACAATGTTATCGTTATTTCCTCATACAAACAACAAAACAGAAGATTATGTAATCTAACCCACAAAAGGTTAAAACTTTGCTCTCTTATATTCAAAGTAACTATTAGATGATTTTAACAACATCAGACAAGTCTACTATTAAGTTGAACCCTATAAAATACTAAATCATAATCAATGCTTATCTTATAGTTTTACTAGCAATAACTGCACAAGAATGTGAAATATAAATGATCAGACATACAGCAGGTTGATCTGTTTCTTGGACTAGCTGCTTCAAGGCCCAATTAGGTTGCCTTTCGAAAAGCTTAAACATAATTTCCTCCAGTTCCCCGCGATCTCTTCTAGTTCTTTTCACTTCTGGTCCCTTAACAGGTGCTGCTTTCTTCTTATCCTGGACACAGAAGTTGATAACAACTGTTTGTTATTCCACAGCCCATGCACATACTAATAAATATGATTAGGAGTCATAGGGCACTTGGTAAGCTTGAGCCACAACAATCTAATTAGGACACCAACTAATATCCTGTTAGAACGTGTTAGCTGAGCCCTTTGATGCATTGGCGAGATTTCTTTTCTAACAAGGCAATATGGACACCAAAAGCTTGACAGGGAGAGGGGGGGAAAGCAGAATAAAAGGCAAATGAGGGTGTTAGTTAGATGAAGGGTAGTTTTGTCTTTATGCACTTATTTGATTAGTATAAATATATATTGTCACAGAGGGGAAAACCTAATCTAAGGTTTTGTGCCTCTTTCCTAATAATCATTCTCTCTTTTGTTTTCTCTTCTCTTCTCTTGTTCTTAAACTTGTTCTTATAATTTTAAATGAGGGCAACTGTAAACTTCACCGTAAGTTTTTGAATCAATACCTTAGAACTGGAGGGAATTAAGCCAACCATTCCAGGCATAGGCCTCATATTGACTCCACGATCATTGTCAATCACCTATTGAATAGCCAAAGAAGAAGAAGAAAAATATTCCATGAGAAAGCGAGAGAGAGAGAGAGATGAAGGAAATAAACAGAGATATCTGCTACCTGAATTTGTCTATTCTTAATCATCGATTTATTTGTCCTTTCACGGCACATTTTGCTATACTCCTCCAAGTTCTCATTATGGGGCTTCATGTCAAATTTATGTTCCACTTTCCCTTCCACTGCAACCTTACCTACAATATCAACATTTTCTACCAAATTAGTTAACTATTTTAAAACAATTTCCCAAAAAAAATGCAAATGTAGCACAGGAGTCAGAGGAACAGGAAGTGTTTAACTACAGATAATTTAATCCTACCTCTCATCCCCTCCCCCAAAAAAACACATACGGGTCCCAACAAATAAAACAGCCAAATGGTTTCTTTTCTATATAAAAAAATGTTACAGCTACAACTATCACCTATGAAGCACGGGTACTCCGAAAATATTGTCGTACTCGTACCGGGAATTGATACGCAAACCGATAGAGTTGCATGCGTACCGGATACTCGAAATTCATATTGGGTACATTCTATACATTTTTTGACAGTTGGGTACTTCATGGGTACGAGACGGGCATACAGGGGTACCTCAAGCTATGGGACATTGGTGGAGATACGTTTAATTTATTAAAGTTCTAATTTATTTGAAATTATAAATCCTTTATTTGATGCGCCAAAGATGAAAGATGTATTATTCAATGATGAAATTGATGGAAGTGAAAATTCAAATTTCAAGTTTTTAAATTTTAATTAGCTTGCTTTCGGAATGAAACTTTGTTTTGTAATTTCTCTTATTTAATGGCATTAAAATAGCTTATGAACTTTGCTTTGGTATTGGTATTATTGAAATATGATTTCTCTTTTGGTTTTGTAATTTCTCCTTTTAGTTTTGGTATTAAACTTTGATTTGTAGGTTAAATCTCAAATTACAAATTATAAAATTATAAATAAATTTGGCGTCCCCTAACAGTACCCGTATCCTAATTTTTTTAGTTCTTGCCTTACTGGCGTACCTGTACCAGTATCCATGCCCATGCTTCATAGACTATCACCTAAATATCTCAGAAGAAAAAAAAATGAAAGGGTTGTGAAGTGTATAAGAAGCCATGATGTAAAACAAGCAATAGTAATAGGGTACGCTTCAAGTTTCAACCAGCAATAATATCAATATCCCAATGTCCTTAAGAATTAGGTTTAGAAAGATATAACTCTTGGACACGCATCAACAACCAATACTCATACCTGAGTCCATATAACATAGTATCCTACATATGTCAATTTTCATATTGTGTTCCATGTAATTTTTTCATTTTCAAAAGGTGCAACACATCGGTTTTAGGACATAATGCTTAATCAAAGACAACTTAATGCTCAAGCTTGGGTAAGCTAGTTCAGGATAGAGGTCAAGATCGAGTCGGCTCAGGTCAAGCTTAGGCAAATTCCTCTACACTTCGGAATGAGCTTGGAATGTTGGACCAACCCTCAACCCATTAGAACCCTTAATACGTACAAACCTACCGTGGTCAATTGACTATTGTTTGGAGTCTATGAAGTACAGACACTTCAAAATAAGTGTCGTAGCCATGTCAGACGTAGGACACGGCGGGGACACGTATGGGACATGCCACATAGTGTGTCCCTTTATTTAATTTTTTTTTTTTTTAAGGGACACGTCGAGGACACATCGAGGACACTTTGGGGATGCGCCAAGTAGTTTTTTTTTCCATTTCTTTGATGCTTTTGATGGATGTTGGATGTTGAATGTTGAATGTTTATTCATTATTACTTAGATTTAAATACTTAATAGATCATTCACAAAAAATAAAATAAAATAAAAAATATACAAACGATAAGTGTTAATTTAAAAGTGATTGTAATTTTTTCATTTTCAAAAGGTGCAACACATCGGTTTTAGGACAACTTAATGCTTAATCAAAGACAACTTAATGCTCAAGCTTGGGTAAGCTAGTTCAGGATAGAGGTCAAGCTCGAGTCGGCTCAGGTCAAGCTTAGGCAAATTCCTCTACACTTCAGAATGAGCTTGGAATGTTGGACCAACCCTCAACCCATTCGAACCCTTAATACGCACAAACCTGCCGTGGTCAATTGACTATTGTTTGGAGTCTATGAAGTACCGACACTTCAAAATAAGTGTCGTAACCATGTCAGACATAGGACACGGCGGGGACACGTATGGGACATGCCACATAGTGTGTCCCTTTATTTAATTTTTTTTTTTTAAGGGACACGTCGAGGACACATCGAGGACACTTTGGGGATGCGCCAAGTAGTTTTTTTTTCCATTTCTTTGATGCTTTTGATGGATGTTGGATGTTGAATGTTGAATGTTTATTCATTATTACTTAGATTTAAATACTTAATAGATCATTCACAAAAAATAAAATAAAATAAAAAATATACAAACGATAAGTGTTAATTTAAAAGTGATTTTTTTTTCTTTAATATCAAAATAGTAATAAATTTTGTTAATTTTGACTCTTTGTGAATTTAATATTAATCAACATAACAAATAAAAATATATGAAAAAATATTTTATTGTTGTGCCCGCCGCCGTGTCCGTATCCCTATTTTTTTAAATCACCGTGTCTCGTGTCCGCATCCATGTTCATGTGTATGGGTTTGTGCTTCTTAGTTTAGAGTTGATAACCGAACTTCAAAGGCAATGAAGTTGCTTCCAATTCTTTTAATTGTTCCAAAATTTTAATTAAACCACTTGCAATATACTTATATATTTCGTTCAAGGTTTCCTTTGTATCTACTCTTACTAAGTAGATGACATAGCCAAAAATCAAAATTTGGAAAACATACAAGAAAATATTTCAAAAAATTTATTTTAAAACCCTCTACATTCTTTCCGGTTTCCTCTGAAGTAGAGTTTCTTGAAAATCCCACCTTCAAGGTCATAGCTAAATCCAACCCCCGCCTTAGTTGGTCCTTGCATGGGCCAATGCTAATATGATGGCGTACTTCAACTCTACTTCTAAAATAAGATATTGAGGTATACTAACAAACATGCAATAGATTATTGAGTTGACCTATCATTGGCTCAATCAACTTGTATTTGGACTAATATCAAATCCAACTTGCTAAATTAAAACCAAACACCCAAGAAGTGTACATTTTATTCTTTATGGTATATCATGTACTTATAGATAACTGCATGTACTATACCTATAAAACAAAAGATCATAGGTTGATGAAAAGATCTGATGTATCATTATATATGATTTTATATCTCCCAAGGAAATAAATACGAAAAAAATTGTGATTGTTTTCGATCGTCGAATTTACTATAAAGAAAATATACCATGTTTCAAAGTGTGCTTTTCCAATACGTAAATCACTAGTATTTTCGAGTAACACTAATTCTATATTGTCATAATCCACCACTTAAATAGGTAAGGTAAAAGGAATATAGAGCAAATTTCAAGTTGATCTCACAATTTACTACTGGTCATGCGAACTTGTTCAAATTTGACAATATTTGAAACCAAGTGAAACCAAAATATTGGTCCACCCTAACTCTTAAAAGTAGTTTCTTACTGTCAATGTTTGAGAAGAGAAAAGTAAGTGGTATCTCATCCCCTTTTATATTAAACCATCACCATAATTGCAGAAGTGCCCTAAGGCATAAAATAAGAATACTGAATATTCATCAGAATAAAATAGGAAATATTCCAACACATTCTAACACTTCCCCTCAAGCTGATGCAAAGATATCTCTCATGTCCAGCTTGTTAAGAATGTCACGGAATGGTTTATTCCCTAATCCTTTGATGAGAACATCAGCCAGTTGGTCTCTAGACCTCATGAATGGCGTACATATAGTGCCACTAGTGAGTTTTTCCTTGATAAAATGCCTATCAATCTCCACATGCTTGGTCCTGTCATGCTGAACTGGATTGTGCGCTATATTGATGGCTGTTGTATTGTCATAGTATAGCCACATAGAATCTGTCTGATGAATCCCCAAATCCCTCAAAAGTAGTCTAATCCATAATGGCTCACACACACCCTGAGCCATAGCCCTAAATTCAGCCTCTGCACTGGACCTCACAACTACATTTTGTTTCTTGCTTCTCCAAGTAACTAGATTTCCTCCAACAAAGGTACAATAACCAGAGGTTGACCTTCTATCAGTGACTGATCCAGCCCAATCAGCATCTGCATATGCCTCTGCACTAAGATGACCATTTTCCCAGAGAAGACTTCAAGTAGCTCAGAATCCGCATAACTGACTCCAAGTGAATTGCACGTGGAGTATGCATAAACTGACTAACCATACTCACTGCGATAGCAATGTCAGACACGTCTCCCCCTGTCTACAAGCTCACCTCCTTGATCCTCACTAAGCTTTAGTCCAGGCTCTAGTGGTGTATCACAAGCTTTACTTCCAAGCGTCCCAGTTTCTTTTAGCAAATCAAGCACATACTTTCTTTGACATATGAAGATGCCCTCTTTGGATCGAGCAACTTCAATACCTAGAAAGTACTTCAAGCTACCTAAGTCTTTGATTTCAAACTCATTGGCCAAATACTCCTTTAACCGAGGAACCTCCTCAACATCATCCCCTGTGAGTACAATATCATCCACATAAACAATAAGAGTTGTCGTCTTACCATGTGAAGAGTGTTTCACGAACAAAGTATGATCAGCTTGACTCTATTTGAAACCATATCGCAGCATGGCTTGAGTAAACCTCTCAAACGAAGCCCTAGGTGACTGTTTGAGGCCATAAAGCGGCTTGTGTAGTCGGCATACTTTTCCTTTGATTTTAACATCCTCAAAGCCTGGGGGAATGTTCATGTACACTTCTTCTTCCAAATCTTCATGAAGGAAAGCATTCTTCACACCCAATTGATGGAGAGGCCAGTCAAGATTAGAGGTAAGGGAGAGGACTCTGACAGAGTTCATCTTAGCAATAGGAGCAAATGTCTCCTGGTAGTCTACTCTATAAGTCTGTGTAAAGCCTTTGGCTACCAATCTTGCCTTGTAATGTTCAATAGAACCATCAGCTTTGTGCTTCACTGTGTACACCCACTTACATCCTATAGGTCGCTTTCCCTTAGGTAACTCAGTCAATTCTCAAGTGCCATTTTTAGCTAGGGCTCTCATCTCCTCTATCATGGCAAGCTTCCACTCAGGAGTAAAAAGAGAATCCTGAAAATAAG